TCCATGATGATGTGATTCATCCTCTCTACAATAGCATTATGCTGAAGTGTACTAGGAACTGTCATCTTATGTTGGATGTCATGTGACCTGTAATAATCATTAAACAATCCTATGTACTCACTACCATTATTTGATCTCATGCATTTCAATTATATTTTTGTCTCTCTTTCAACTCTAGCATGAAACTCTTTGAAGGCATTAATAACATGATCTTTGGTCTTTATAGTATAGGCTTAAACTTTCTTGAAAAAATCATTTATAAAAGTGACAAAATAAAGCACTCTATTGATACTAGGAATATTAACAGATCCACTATGAGTTTTTGTCCTCAAAGGACCATATACATCTTTATAAATACGGTCTAAGACATATATTTTTCTAGATAAAGCAGGACTAGCAAATGAAACTATGTGTTGTTTACCAGCCAAACAATCAATACAATGGTTCAGATGTGTACCTCTGAGGTCTAGCAATATCTCTCTCTTGGAAAGAGCTTATAGCCCATTTTTGCTCATGTGTCCTAATCGCCTCTGCCATAACTTCATGCTGAAGTCTTTCTCTATAGCATTTAACTACTCACCACAAGATTTGGCATGCAACTTGTATAAGGTGTGACATTTTTTTCTACTAGTTATAACAATAGAACCTTTATTGAGCTTCTATTGCCTTATGTGAAATTTGTTAGTATAGTCTTCATCATCTAGCTTTCTAACTGAAATTAAATTCAGCCTCAAGTTAACCATATGCCTCATATCCTTAAGCACAAACTTGTAGTCAAGGTTAGTCTTTATATATATATCACTTATACCAATGATGTTTGCTATGTCATAGTTGCTCATCTTGACAACACCAAAATTTTTAAATATGTAAGTAGTAAAAAACTCCCTCCATGGTGTAGCATGATAAGAAGCACCTGTGTCAATCACCCACTTAAGATCTTAAAACATACAAGAAAAAATATCATCATAAGGAGACAAAATCAAATAATCACTACCCTAGACTATAGTTGTAGTATTATCTTTTGACTTTGTAGACTCCACTTCTTTTCCCTTTTTCTTATATTGCTTGTATTGGTTCTTGTAATATTCATTCTCACCACAGTTATAGCAAACAATATCTTTTCTTTATCTTGACTTACTTCTACCTATACGTGAATTGCTTCTATCATTAGACTTTGACCTTCATTTGTTCTCTGAGATAAGTGCTTGTGAATCATTCTAAGATGTTGCTAAATTCTTTCTTCTCAGCTCCTTATTCAATAAAGTGCTTGTTACTTAACTTATAGTGACAATATCATCTGGCACAGAATTACTAAGGGAAACCACCAGTGTCTCCCAACTTTCTAATAAAGAGTTGAGAAGTAACAATGTTTTAACTCATCATCAAGAGACATTTTCATAAAGGATAACTGGTTAATGATACTTAGTATTTCATTCAAATACTCAGCAATAGAAGCATTCTCTTTATATTTCATGTTTATAAGTTTTCTGATAAAAAAAAACTTTATTACCAACTGTTTTTCTTTCATAGAGACTTTTCAACATTTTCCAAAGAGAATATACATAACTTTCAATAGAAACACAGTGAAAGACACTGTTATCGAGCCACTATCGAATAAACCCAACTATTTTTCGATCTAACCTCTTCCACTCATCATCTGTCATAGTTACGGGCTTTACACTATCCTCTATAAAGGTCCATACAAATCTTTGCAATACAATATATCTTTCATTCTTGGTTTCCGTATTATCCAATTGTTTCCATTCAAGTTAATCATACGAGAAACATTACCGACCTTCATGTTCGAACATAAAAAATTAAATCACTAAAACTGATACCAATTGATGAGATATAAAGAAGAATAAATCTCTCATAATCATTTATGGTTATTAATGTATAAACTTACAAAGGCATATATTATATTATGTGTGAATTAGTTGAAGTTGGATGAAAGGAACATAGTTTACTATGTAGTTCACTTGATGCTTTAATCATTAAGAGAGATTAAATCCTTTCAAGGCACCTTACTATCCATATAGTATATATACCTTACTCATTTATTTTAATGAACTTTAATTTTATTTTAAAGTTTTGTGAGAGATTATTAGAAATATAAAAAAACACTTATCTAATCTATTTTTTATTTTACATTTATGTCATTGGAGTTAGTCCACTTGATATTTTTCATTATGCATCACTTATAGGGCACACATCGAGAATTTATTATGTTTAACCGTTCTAAAATTTCTTATTTAAATCATGTTTCACAATAAAAATTAGATTGATGTTGCTCACTCTTTATCAGAATCTTTCACATATAGATTTCTTATTTATTTTCTTAGATTTGATTATGATTTTTATTATCGTTGGTATAATCTTCCATCATCTCCATGATCACGTAGGAGATAATATCTCGATTACATCTTATGATGGTTTTCTCAATGAAACTTTTAAGAAGGTTGGGAATATATTTTTGGACAATGAGTCATGCCTTTGAGTTTCTTCAGGTCCTTTCTTTAATTATATTTATAAATTATTCGATTAGATTCTTTATCAATTTCTGTTGATATTTGCTATTTTTTAACAAAATATATAAAATAAAAATAACTGTTATGTCTATTAGAGTGTCATTAAATAGAGTTGTAGTGTTTTTACCACCCATACAAACATATTATAAGACTATATAAAATATTATAACTCAAAATTAATGACTCAAACTACAATACAAACGCATGATTTCAAACAAATATCTTATTGGTTTGAGAATAAAAACATAAAAATTTTTTTGATTTATGTATTGGTTTCGAATAGGATTATGATATTTTTAGCATCTTAAAAAAAAAGGCTATATAAAAAATTATAATTGAGTGAAATTGAACAAATTAAAAAACAGGAGGCTATGGATGTTATGTGAAGCGCAGATTCAGGATTAAAGAAAAATAAGAAAAGAAAATACAAAGGAGCACATCCAAATAAAAGCCAAAATGAGGATTTTCTCTGACAATTTGTCCCTAAAATTTTTATACAACCCTTTCCGTTGGCATCTGCCCTATTGAGTTATTAATCACTTAAAAAAAAAGAAATATAATAAAGTATAATGTATTAATAGATTTTTGACGAGTTTTTAAAGAATATATAAAAAAATAATTTATGGAGAAATAAATGCAAGTTTTTCGATTCAAAATATAATGTCCATAAATGTGCGTTATATTTAACTTTCGAGAAATATATGCAAACATAAATTATGCAACCTTCCAATTGGAAAGCTGCATGTTGGGTATAGTTGACTGTGATGGTGAGATGGCCGCCAACTCTTATCTGATCTACCGATCATATAGTTTTATCGTTCGTCAAATATTCAATTGCTTATAAAAAAAAGTCCTAAACTTTTAAATTAATAATCATATTTTGAAGTTTATATGTGCAACTTATCAACTTTTAAATTATTAATATGATTAAGTATTTACGTTATAAACACATTAATAGTGCATTTAATGTAAACAATAAATATATTTTGACCTTAGTTATTTTAAAGCTTGCATTAATTAATGCGCCTTCTAATACTATACATATAGGCCCTTCTCAAAACCAAATCTAAAACAAGATGCCTTGTTGATTTTGATCAGAGAAAAATATAAATCCAACCATCACCATTAAACCCAACTAAGTTATCAAATACGATTTTGGTTCAACTAGATCTGATGTCTTAAATCATACAACTTAATACAGTCTAATAATGTGTACTTTTTTCCATTGTTACAAAACTATTAGTTCGGCTCCCTAAAGATATCATCTAAATAATAATTTTGAAAGGTTAAATATGGAAACTAATTATCAAGAATGAATAAAGGACATTTTTTTTTTCAGAAAATACCTATAATTTAGGTATTTCTTAATTGGTACTTCTCATTTTATTTTTTTTCAAATGATATTCTTAATTTTAAAAATATTTATATTAATCTTTTTTTATTTGTTATTATGTATTTGACTTGTTATAATGTTTTAGTCAGACAACAAGAACAATATTATATAATCTATTTGAAATCATTATGGTCGATCTAAATAAACTTTTAATCTCAATTAAACTATCTACAAGTCTATACTGATAAAAAAAAATAAGTAAAAAATTTTGATAGAGAATTTTTAATATTTTTAAATTAAAAATATTATTTAATTTTTTTAAAAATGCTTATTTTCTAGGAAAATCAGCCATTAATGAATTAAAATCCATTTTCTTGATGGGCCAGTGGTGCATATACTTCAATGCAATAATATATATATATATATATATATATATATATATATATTCAGGAAATAATTGATTATATATAGATCATCAAATTTATCCATCTATCAATCTATCTTAAATTATAATTATCCATGACACAAAATCTAATAGGTCCATCATGCTAGGGTGGCAGCTAAACAAGGAAAATATTTTGGTGTGCAACGACTCAATCCCCGAGGCGCATGCAATCCATTATCTTGTTTTTTAAAAAAAAACACAGGATTCTCTGCACAAGCGAGACGACCATCCACCGCGCTCACTCCAACCACAGCTCGCCAGGTGTGGCCACCTTCCCCCTTCCTCCCCTGGCGTCTCGAGCAGAGTGTTATCTCATACACCCCACTCGTGTCGCAGATCCCAACGCTGCGAACCTCATCGGAAATGCAACTCTGGTCGAGCTAAGGAATCGAGTCTCGAGCAGCGGTGTTGCAAATCCAGAACAGGAAGAGAACAGGAGTCGAACTCGCCGGGGTGGAGATGACCGGATTAGATTCACAAGATCTCCCTTAGCCCTTCTCGAAGTCATCTCGTCTCGTAATGTGGCTCGATAAACCCACCCTTTTGTTCTCTTCTGCTCTCCCGCCCCTCGTCTCCACCTGACAGCAATCATGAGTCCTCTTCTGCTCCGCATTAACGTCTGGGTGTTAAAGCAGACATTGTTATCTGTTCTCCGGAACCCCCTGCGCTTTCTGCCTCCTCTCCTTCCCCGCAGATGGCTGCCCCCCTCAACCCTCATGCGCCGGTTTACATTCCGTCTTCCTTCTTCTCTCCGTTTGGAAGCTATTACTCCTCTCCTCTTCCTGCTAGTTATCAGCACCCTTCTGATACTCCACCCTCTTGCCTTGCGTTCAACCAACCTCCGGTTCAGACTACTACTGGTTTCTGCGGTGCTGCCCCTCCGATGAATCCATTTCCTTTTTGTTACTACTCTCTTTCTCCTCATGCTCTTCCCCACAGCGCTTACCGTACTAGCTGGAAAGTGTTTGCTTGTGGTCAGATCCCTCCGATGCCCCTCCATGGCCCGAAAGCTCACGAGCGGGCTACTCTGACTCTTCTCAGCGAGGAAGAGGAGAGTGGGGGGAAGCCAGAAGAAAACCCTGTTCCACAAACTAAAGTGAAGGAAGAGGTCAAGGGCGGTTGCAGAGCTGCTGACAAAGCTCGGATGGGCTTCAAGGGTTCTGGAGGCGGTGGTTCCTTTGTCTACAGAAGGAAAGCTGTCGCGCCGAGGAGAAGTGAGCGCAGAAGGGTTCAGGCGCTGAATAAGAAGGGGAGTGTGGAATTCGAGTTCAAGAAGCTTGTGCGTGGTGCAAGTGAGTTACTGGATGACGGGAAAACCACGGTCATGATCAAGAACTTGCCCAACAAGTTCACGTACGTTGTATTCTATGATCCTAATAACCTGCTCTCATTACTAACGTGTCTGTAATCAACACAATTTCCTTTCTGTCAACTTGGGGACTCTCTCTCTCTCTCTCTTTCTTTTGGTAGCAAGGAGAAGCTATTAGGCATATTGGATAAGCACTGCTCCGAAGAGAACCATAAGTTAAGCAACGATGGTGCTGAGAAGCTCTCGGAGTCGGGAGGTGGAGAAATGTCATCGGCCGCTTTTTCTGAGTTCGATTTCTTGTATCTGCCCATAGATTTCACGTACGTTTCTACGCTGTTTTCTTGCTCACTGCGGTTTGCACTGACTTAGCTAGGGTTTCCTGGTTCAAGTGAAAAGCCCATGTATATTTGTTTCTTGGTTCGTGTGGTTGCTTTCTTCTAGTTTCCGTTTGGTCTTCCTTATCTTAGTGGATCAATTGCCTGATTCCTTGGTTATATTTGATCGATATCGGGGAAAATGTTGCTAGGACTGGCAGCAACATGGGCTATGCCTTCGTCAACTTCACCAGTGCAGCCGCTGCATGGAGGCTGTACAACTTTCTCCACAACTACGACTGGAAGTTCCACGGCTCTCGCAAGATATGTGAGGTCACATACGCCAGAATTCAGGTGATTTCAATGTTTATTTTTCTGATTCTTAATCCCATATAGCACCAGAAGATAATAATTGTATATGGCGCCTTCGAGTGAAATGATGATTCAAGTATTAATCATCGCCATTTAACACTGCTATGTCATACCCTACAAACTCACGTTTACACTCAGTTGCAGTGTCTGACGTCTATTATTTCGATCATTCTTGGGCACAGGGTTTGCCGGCGCTGCAGAAGCAGTTCAGGAATTCAACTTTTGTGTGCGGGAGTGACGACTTCCTTCCAGTGTGTTTCGTCCCGCCTCGCAATGGATACTGTCAGCCGTCGTTTCAGTTCTTGGGCCGGCGAGAACTTCCCCTTCACGCCGACCCCAAGGCATGAAGAGCGAAACAAACAAGAACGTAATGGCTAGGGTTTCTGGCTGTCTTTCTATTTGTTCATCCAACACAGGCTTGGAGGGATAGAAAGTGCATGCAAAAATAAACAGCCATGGATCGTCGTCTAAAGTAATCTGTAATATTTCCAACAGTATTGCGATAGAAAGGTAGTGTGGGGCTTGTTTTGGTGTCTGCAGTGTCTTTACGTTTCAGTTAGTGCAGATATCTTTAGCATTAGTGGTGTTCTCTGATCTCTGTATCTGTGATTTGTTTTGGTGGGGAAGAAGATGAAATGATGGCGTGGGAAAAGAGGCCCCAATAGGAGGGTGCGGTAGGACCTGTTCCCATTAATGGGATGGGAAGGTTGGAGGGTGAGGAAGCGTGAGATGGAGGGACGTACGTACCCTCTTGCCGCTCTGCAGCTGGGCCGCCGAGGGTTATGTGAAGAAGCTTTTCTGCTGCTTCTGTGAGGAGTGTCTGCTCTTATATGATTGACGTTTGATTAGACCTGACCAAAGCGTACACTACAATGTTAATGGTATGTGATGGGCAGCCCTACTCCTACGGGTCTCTGCAAGCATGAGGCGCCATGATCGGCCCTCTCTTGGGTTCTCTTCTGCATGTGATAATAGGGTGATAATAGGGTTCCTCAGAAGAGAAAAATATCCTTTTGCCTGCCTATTAGTGTGTTTTCTTCTCAGTTCATCATGTGTGATTATTAGGTTGAGATCTGGCAATGTTAGTATAGTGAACAACTTATAACGTTGCCGTGGAAGTTCTTTCATCAAGCCAAATGATTCCAGCAGAAGCAGAAGAGAGAGGAAGAGAGCGAGCGGGGAGGATGGTTTATCGTACCTGTAAGTGTGCCATTAACGTTAAGCTTCTGCTTCCTCTACCTTTTATCATCTTATGGAGTCTTTGGATCAAATTCATCCACCATTAAACTCTTATTATAGCGACTGCCGATGTTATAACCTACACCATCTGAATTTAATGGTGTAAGTAAGAATGTAAATGATTTCTTCAATCGAGTCGGACACGCTGAAAATTACTTATAATATTTGTGAGAAGAATCCGTATATTTCAACATTTATACAGCCGCAAGTCCAAAATGCATCTCCTCTTATGACTTATGTGTGCAAGATGAGTTTACCCGCAAGGGTAAACTCTACAGGAGTATCAAGTAAAATGGAGGCTGTGATATCCCGTATTTGATCTACATATATATGAGAACTGAAATATTGTTTGTCACATGGAAGATGTAAAAGAGATATTGGACACTCTACAAAAGCATTTTAAATCCACTATAATTAGGACATACTTATAAGAAATTAGAATCACACTCTCCAATTGATTTCCCTAAGAATAAGTTTTCATTTTAAATCCACTATAATTAGGACATACTTAATAGAAGAAGGATATTTTATAAGAGAAAAATCTTAGGATGTATCATATAGACTAGTTTAGTAATATCCTCCCCCGGTCGATCGTCTGAAGAGAAACTAAATCCTAGATGGATTCTGTTCTTGGACGAGAAGACAAAGGGATCCCCTATATTTTATTTTGTTCGTGAACCATAAAGATTATATGATTTTGCATGGTTCGATGGTTTTTATTTTATTTTATTAGATCAAAGAGTCAAAGAATTTTCTCGATGAATTATTCTAAGGTTTGAGATATTTGGACGTATTACATTTATGAATTATGATTCAAGATTGTTTTTTTTTAAGTTAAGATCTATAATTTGTATCTATGGGATCATCGAATACATTGCAAGTTTGCACGGTAGAGGTAGATACAGAGATGGGATTGAATAGAAACAAAAAAAAGAAAGGTGGGGTGTTTGGGGCGAGCGGCGTGCCGCATGAGATCTTAGGTTCGCTGGCAGCTTTCGGCAACACCCCTTTATGGGGGATGAGGATCCTGCAAGGCTTGCCGCAGCGAGCAATCTGTAGGAAAAAGAGAAGGCTTGCTGGAGGATATGCCACTATACCATAGTCCCCAAATAGTATAGGGAGATCTAATCCATTGCACCTATCTACCCTCAATTACATTGTATCTATAGTCCCTTATCCATCTAATATCCTAGAGACCGTATACCAGACATGGTATTGTCAAGCCCATATTGAATCCATTCGAGTCTCACTCTTATCGAATTCTTCTAGAGAACTCCTCTCTTAATTCGACTTTTACTCTTATCAGATTCTTTCAATCCAATTGACTTTGACCAGGGATTTGCCTGAGTGAGAATACACAAGATATTCCTTTTATAATTCTGAGAGTAGATAATCCTCTATTGATACCCAATTGCCTTCGTAAGATTGACTGTTATTCCCAATGACCGTTTGTACTAGATTTGGAACCTCCAAATTTGTAAGTCTGGTATAAAAAAATAAAGTACTTAAATAAGGTATCCTTAGTGTCTTAAGTGTAAGAATCAAACATACAACTAAGACTACGAAATTATTGTTTGACGATGAGGTATCATTAGCTATTCAGTATTCTATAAGCGGATCATTTAGTTAACTCATTCTCCAATGAGCACCTAAACTATATGACTAGTATCTCCACACAAGCAACTATGAGACCAACTGCCTCCATGGACGAGTATATAGTACACTAGTCTGTTCTGGTTACCTCGATGTCCTTCTCAAGTAATATATTGCAAGTCATAGGTGCCTTGCAAACTAATCACGTGAGTGATAGCATATGTGATATATTACACGATATTTTTATTTATTATTATTATTATTATTATTATATTTTCTCACTTTATGTTGCTTATTGCATATATTGTGATGTCTATGGATCTATGTGATGAGAATTATATTATGATGAGATCATAATAATGAGATCAATTAACCTATAAACACAGACCCTAAATATTCCTGATCATAGGTTACTCGAGAGGGACATTGAAATAACTGGATAGACTAGTATGCTAAATACCTATCTATATGATGGAGATGGCTAGTCTTATAGTTGTGTGTGGGGACACTAGGAATATAATGAGTTCACTGAATAATTCGCTCATTGAATGTTAGATGATTAATAATATCTCATTGTTAGACACTAATTCCGTGATCCCAGTTGTGTGTTTGGTCCTTAGAATTGAGACACCAAAGATGTCATATATGAGTACTCCACTCTTTGATATCGGACTTATAGGTATGAATGTTTCGTATTTGGCAATCGATCATCGAGAGTGGTAGCCAACCTTATGAGGGTAATTGAGTGTCGATAGAGGACCATCTACTCTTGGTGTCATGAGAGGAATATCTGTTAAATTTTAGATTTTGATGATAAAATCAATTGATGAATTAATAATCTAATCCATGTGTTGAGATAAGTGATGCAGGACTAACTATGATCATGACAAAGATAAAACAACTAAAGAAAATTTGAATGTTGGGCCGGAGTCAATGATCGGGAATCGGGTTGGATGAATCGGGGCATACACCGAAGGATCAGATGATGCAATGAAAGCTCACCAGAAGTTCGTTGGGAGTTCATCGAAAGCTCGCAGGAAGTTTGCCGAAAGCTCGCCAAAAGTTTATCTGGAGTTCACCGAAAGCTCGTTGGAAGATCGCTGGGATTCCACCGGAAGTTCATCGAGAGTTCGGTTGAACAATTGACGTGCTAGACAACTTAGATTACTTGTATCGTAATTGTATTAGCCTTAACTATCGTAGTTAGAGCTTTAATTTTGAATTAGTTTTGGGAAAAATTTTACTAATTCAATTACGGGCCAATTGTGCCCAAAATAAGACTGATTTGGACTGGTTGGATGGTTTATTCAACCACTTGAAGCCACAAAGTGGTGGCACTGCCTAGACTAGGTGGTGGAACCACTTAAGGCTTGGCCTCCCAAGTGGTCTGGGTGATGGTACCATCGATAGTTAATGCTGCCAAGCGGTGATACCACCCTGTCAGGCGATGGTACAACCATAGCTCAATCACTAAGGCTTTATCAAGCAGTGGTACCACCTAGACTGAGTGATGGTATAGCCCAGTGTCAGTTTGCAAGCGGTGGTACCACCTAGTATTGACAATGGTACCGTCAGTACTTAGGAAACCCAGGATGAGACACTTTTTAGCTCCATTTTTAAAGTTGTTAGGGCCTATAAATATCCAACTCTTTCCTGCATTAAAGAGCATGAAAGTATGAACAAAAGTCTTGAGATTTTGGGTTGTAAAAGTGTTGAAAAAGTACTAAGTGTCCTCCTTCTTCTTTAGCTTTGTGATTATTCTAAGAGAGGTGTGCGACTTGTAGAAGTTTTCTCCTAAACTTGTGAAAAGAAAAAAGAGTTGTAAGAGGGTAGTTGGTCTTCATCCATTGAAGGAAGACCATTAGTGTACGCTAATGGCATTGATAGAAGAGGAATCAAGAGTGGATATAGGTCACGACGATTGAACCACTATAAATTTGGTGTGCACTTTCTTTCTGCTCTTCATTACTATTGTTCTCTATTTTAATTGCTTATTACATTTACTTCAAGTGAAGCACACTTTTGATATCATTTCCGATACAGGCTTTATCGAAATGGTTTTTCTAAATCGTCAATGTTTTTATCGTAAACACTAATTTACCCCCCTCCTCTTAGTGTCGATTTCGGTCTTAATAGTTGGTATCAGAACCGAGGTTTTTCTCATTTGATTTAATACCTAAGAGAAATGACTTTTATTGACAATTAAGAGGATCTTTCTATCACTCATCCTCCTATGTTCAATGGGACGAACTAGACATATTGAAAAACTAGAATAAGAATTTTCTTGCTTTCTATGGATTTCGAGTTGTGGAACATTGTTGAAAGTTGTTTTGAGAAGTCTTCCAAACCAATGAACGAATGGAATGATTTGAAAATGAAGATTTTCTCCCTGAATGCTAAAGCGATGAACGCTTTATTTTGTGCTCTTGATAAAAACGAATTTAATCAGGTTTCTATATGCGAAATTACATATGATATTTGACATACACTCGAAGTCACACACGAAGGCGCAAGT